TTAGGATAGTCCTTCACACACAGTAAACACACAATGTCACTTGTTTATTATAATTGGTGGTGTGCTATTACTATTGTTATTATTGGAGAATTTATCAGTTCCATTTCACACCTCTAAGGGAACTCCCTGGGAACCATTTTTAGACAAGATAGGGAATGAAAATTTTCTATTTCTTTGTTGACAAACTGTGGATTTTCATTCTTTCTCACAGAAGGTTCACAGGTTCTTTACTACACACACATACACACACACACACACACACACACACACACATACACACACACACAGTATACTGCCACAAATATACTGCCTGAAACCCTGTTCATACAGATAAACATATTACTTGCTCCCTCCTCTCCAGTCACTGTTCAAATTTATCATCATAATAAGAAGCCTTGTCTCACCAGTGTTATCTTAAATAGCATCACCTTTTGGTCAATATCTCTATCCCATTATCTTTAAAGTTATCATATCTTCTACACCAGGATATTTTCAGAGTAAAAGAGTATGTTTTCAGTATTTCCACCAAGACAACAGATGTAAAAGGAACTGCTCAGGGCAAATAGTGATAAATATTTCTCCTGTTTGTCTTCCTATAGCTGATATATTATTTATTTTTTATTTTCTCTCTCATTAGAATAACCGGTGTGTTTTTTCCTTTTTTTGGCATTAAAAAAATTTTTTTTATTAGCTTCAGGTGTACAAAACAATGTAATAGTTAGACATTTGCACCCCTCACAAAGTGATAACCTCCCTCTCCCAATCTACTCTCCTAATATAGCTGTTACAATTCCACTGACTCTATTCCCTATGCTGTACTCCACATCCTGTGACTATATACATATACATGTACATATATGTATATATTTGACACTCAATATTATTCAGCTTTAGCTTCAGATGTACAGCGCAGTGGGCAGGCATCTACACAGTCCTTGAAGGGGTCTCCCTAATAAGACAAGTGCCCATCTGACCCCCTATAACATCTTTACAACATTAATGATTATATTCCCCAAACTGTATTTCACATCCCCGTGGCTATATTGTTACTACTAATTTGTACTTTCTAATCCCTTTACCTTCTCCCCCATCACCACCTCCCTCCCATCTAGCAACCCCTGACTTTTTTTTCCCCTATACATCTGAGTCTATTTCTGTTTTGTTTGTTCATTTATTCTGTTCTTTAGATTCTACGTATAAGTGAGATCACATGGTATTTGTCTTTCTCCATCTGACTTATTTCACTTAGCATAATACTCTCTAGGTCCATTCATGTCATTGCAAATAGTAATGTTTTATTCTTTTTTATGGCAGAATAATACTCCATTGTACAAATGTACCATAATTTCTTTATCCAGTTGTTTATCGATGGGTATTTTGGTTATCTCCATATCTTGGCTATTGTAAATAGTGTTGCAGTAAACATAGGGGTGCATATATTTTTTGAATTAGTGTTTTGGATTTCTTTGGATAGATACCCAGGAGTGGAATTAGAATGACAGTTTTATAAGAGCAGAGACTTTTCCTGTTTTATTCGCTTTATCTCTAGTGCATATGGCAATGCATGATAGATATTTGATATCCAGGGAGTAAAATAAAATATCATAAAATATCGTAACAACTGTCTCAGTTTTATGAGTGTTGGAACTATCCTACTGAGAGATACCTATTTGTAGTGTTACAATACTTTGATTAGGAGATATATTTTGTATTTGAAAATGTACAATGTAATAGCTGCTATGGCTTTATTCCCTTCAACATTTGGATAAAGAGAAGATATTATCTTTATTTATATTGCAGTAGATTTCTGTGTATCCCTATTGCTTTCTCTTGCCTGTAGGGAAAACAGCAGCTTCATTAGAGCCGCTGCTTTTCAGCTTCTGGGAATTACTGCTTACCTTGTGTTTGGGGTATTTAAAATGTTTTCAGGTGAAGATTTGAAGGCTGAGACTAAACCCTCAAAGTCTGTGCATGAGAATGTCTGCCTGAATCCTCAGGAGAGCTTGTAGGACTCAGGATGCATATTTTAAATCCACAATGGCAAATGCATTCCAACCAATTCACCTTTGTAATTAGGGCAGGTAAAGAGGCATTTAGAGGAAATTATGATCACAATTGTGCTGGCTGGTACAGAGGGTTAGCAGTCTGGCACTCTCAAGGTATTTACTGTAGCTTTTGATTTGCTATATTTACTAGGATTTTTGGAGTGCTGCAATGCATTTACTTGTAACTCACACTAAAAGTACATATGAAAACGAAAATTTTTACAGAGGAGGGAGGAAAATTATAATTATTTAGTTATAGGATGAAGGGAAACTATAAAATGAGGTTCATTACCCTACATGCTCCAGTAGATGTAACTACACTAACTTAGTATTTGATTTCCAGAAGCATTACTTCTCTATAAAGCTTTTCCTTTGACAATGTAAGGTCTTTATTCCTGAAGTATTTTTGCCAAAATATAGTTTTTAAATATAAAGGAATGGAAAGTTGTTTATAGAAACTAGGAAATAGTTTTTCTCAGAAGAAATTAATCTGTGCTCTTAACATACAATGTGAACTAAACAAACCCAAGCAATTACTTTTCAGGCCTTTATAGCAGAAGAGTTTCAGTAACAATGGGACCTACATTGTTTATTTCATTACTTCACTTTGTGTGGCAGTTACTCATTTTATCGATGGTAGATTTAGAAGGTATAGAGTATTTTGACAGAATTCTTAAATTTGTTTTCTGCTTAAACCCTTTGTTTGTAAACTTTATACTCCTGAGACCATTGCTACTTTTAGCAAACTTGTTGGCATTAAATATTAATATTTGGAAATATATTTTGTTAACAGCTGCATTTTTCTTTCTTCAGTGTAAATTATTCACAGCAATAATAGCTGGCAATACTAAGTACTCATGTAATATTTTGATGAATGTTTTATTGACTGTATTCTTCTTGTGTTTGACTCCTTCCAGAATGATTCTGGCTAGGATGGGGCATTTTCGTTTTACTTAGATGTCTGTTTTTTTCCTTGATTTTATTTTTAGCCTTTCACTTTTCTTTATGAAATGATTTAATTTTACTATTCTGTAGGACTTGCTTCAGACTAGATATACACATAAATACATATACATATACGCACATTTATATACTTATATATAAATACATATATGTATATGCTAATGTCTTAACCTTTTTAAATTTGTTTTTTACTTATATCGAAATATTTAACTGGTTATAGAATTATGTTATTTTTCTTTATATCAGAGTCACATGTATAGTCTACAAAGCTTATTACAGAAAACAGCAGTCCTGTAACATCCCTCTCTTTCATCATTTCCTACTCCCCTAGAGACTATTTTTCATTAAACAACTTTTTGTTTCTTTGTTCTTACCTCCATGTCTCTAACATACTGCATTCGAAACATTTTGATTTTCAATTTTAGATATTATCTCTACCTTCCCTTATTGAAAATGTAGGCCTTAGTTCCTAGTTGGCAGTCTTAGTATGTTTGGGCTGCTATAACAACATACCATAAACTGGGTGGCTTATAAAACAGTAGAAATGTATTTCTCACAGTTCTAGAGGCTGGACAGTCCCAGATCAAGGCATCAGCAGTTTCAGTGTCTGGTGAGGGTCTCCTTTCTATTCATTGATGTCTGTCTTCTCTCTGTGTCCTCACATGGTGAAAAGGGGTAAGGAAGCTTTCTAGGGTCTCTTTTATAAGGACAGTAATTACATTCATGAGGACTTTGCTCTAATTACCTCCAAAAAGTCCCATCTCCAAATATTGCATTGGGGGTTAGGATTTCAATATATGAATTTTGGGGGATACAAACATTCAGTAGATAGCTTTGGCTACTTGTATTTAGTTTACTCTTTTTTTTTTTAACATTTTTATTGGAGTTGGGGGATGGGAACAGCGCTGGGGAATCGGGGGAAGGGGAACAGACAAAGTTGCTGTCCTTTTGTTCTTCAGTCTAGTTGTGGAGGACGTTGCTTCACTGGCCCAAGTTGGCACCATCATTGCGCTCTTCCCAGTTGAGGCAGATCAGTCTCCAGCTTCTGGACGGCCGCTCACACTGGCAGCTGGCTACACACAGTAGCCCACTGCAGCAGGGGCTGCAGCCTACGCCATCACCGGTGACCCACGGCAGCCCAGCTCCAGGTTGAGCTGTTGTTCAGCATCTTAGCTGTAGATGTAGGCCAGTGTCACTGGCCCTCATATGTGGGATCCGAACCGGGGCCCTCTGGCATCCCAAGCCAGCTCTTAACCAACGCGCCACTCAGCCAGTCCTAGTTTACTCTTTACTTTTAGGGTTTATCTTGTCAAGATCCAGTGCTATAGCCTAGCTATGTAATCAGGCCATTGTCTCTTACCTGCAGACCTCCACTCCTAACTCTTCCCAAGGTCATCATACTCCAATTTTTGAACCTCTACTTATTGAGCTTATCAAAAGCTATCAGAGCACAGAGGATTTTCAAGGCAGTGAAAATACTTTGTATGCTATTACAATGATAGATACATGTCATTATACATTTGTCCAAACCCACAGATTATATACATCACCAAGAGTGAACCCTAAGGCAGATTGTGGACTTTGGGAGATTATGATGTGGCAATGTAGGGTTTATCATTGGTTAAAAAAAAATATGTACCATTCCTGTGAGTGATGTTGATAATGGGAGAAGCTATGCATGTGTACAGGCAGGGAATATATGGGAAATCTCTGTGTCTCCCTCTCAATTGTGTTGTAAACCTAAAAGTATTCTAAAAAAATAGTCTTAAAAATATCAGAAAATACCCCAGAAAGATTGAAGGGTTAATCTCTACTATAAATTAGTAAAGCCATAAGAGACATACCAAATATATATATATATATTATGCTAGTATATAAGTATATATGTAGTCTACCCAGCAATTACTTTGACTGTTAGATGCACCCATGATAAAGTAACTAACTTTTGTTTGTTACTAATTTATTTAAGGAAATTTTTCTTTAAACTTTCAGATGATACAGCATTGTTTGAGTTGATTCAGCTGGTTCCACCAGGTACTGTATTATATTTTGATACGGTAATTGACATGTGAACCCATTTCAATGAAATGCTTTTTAAATATCGCATCTTTTTTCCTTCTTCCCAAATTAAGAACAATGTTGAGTTCCTAGGATTGGTCCACCACATATAAAATATCAGTAGACCAAAATAATACGTGCAGAAAGATTGACATACGTGAGTGGCATTTGAACACACTGTTCTAAAAATAAATAAATAGTAATAATTGAAAGTGGAAAATAACCTGATATTCTGGCATATTATGTGGCATTCATAAGTTTCTGTGATTTTTCTAAAATCTTTATGGATAAAATAGTAGTGAATTATCTTTGTGTGTGGACTGTTATTGGGAATGGAGGGGAATAAAACCTTATTTATTTCATAAACATTATAAATCTTTAAGATAGAGTTAAAATATGGAGGATAGTTTTATTTCAGTTATTGATGTCTGATTATAAAGAAATCTGTCTTAATAAAATATTTATTTTATGTGAAAAATGAGAGCTATATTTTATTGAAAACTAGTAACTTAAAAATTTTTCAATATTAAATGGATACCTAATTCAGATAACCACAAATGCCAGAAAATATCTACATTTTTTTCAATATGTAACCTAATACCTTATAACAGCAGGTAGAAAAGAATGGAAGATAGAAAAATTTGTGGAGATGGTAATTAAGTTTCAGATGTGTAAATGTTATACCAACTTGATATGTTTACAAAGACTTCCATTTTTTAGGAACTTATAGGAACTCACTAAATTTAGATGAATATTCCCCCCTCTACAAAAGTGGGGATGGATCATTAGTAATACGTGCTACATGTCTGAATAAGGAAATGTGTTAACCCATGTAACATAACTTTATTTTAATTTTCCTTTCATAGAAAAAAAATGACCCTGTAGGAAGTATTTCAGTAAAGCATCAGGCATTATATATATTGTTACCTGATGATTTTGTTTCTAAATAGAATATTTTGTTATAATTTGAATCATAGGATATCTTTCTTGTAGTGGGTGAAACACTGTCTACATATGATGAAAATACACGAGATTTCATGTTCCCGGGTCCTAACCAAATCTCTGGACACCATGATTCAAACCGCCAGGTTACCATGAGGAGGATTTCTGGCCTTCGAGTAAGTGTTGACTATTTTCTGAATCAATACCTAAAATGTGAGGAACTAATTCGCAGTTTAATTGGATTTAAAATATAATGATTTTCAGACATTTTGATGTTGCTTTAAACATACTGAAATTAAATGAAAATAATTTAACAAAACCTATGCATCTGTCATCCAAAATTAACAAGTGTTATTTTGCCTTATAGTCTTCACATTTCTCTCCTCTTTCCCTGTCCTCCTCCTCTCCATTATCCCTGTCTGTCTCTCTTCTCTCTCTCTTTTTATTTTTCTCTCAAAAGAATGACCAGTAAACATTTGGAAAGATGCTCAATCTCATTAACATTTAAGGAAATCCAAATTAAAACAACCATGTGATTTTTATTGCCATAACGGTAAAATTTAATAAATCTGACAATATCAAAAGTATGAAAAAAGGAAACTCTTGTATGCTGCTATGCCATGCGAATCGGAACAACCACAATTCAAAATTGTCTAGTAGAGGCAGATTCTCATAGCCTACGTATGACCTTATAGGTTAGGTGTGTATCTTGGAGATGGATTTTCTCTGATATACTAAGAGCCTTCATAGAAATGTTCATTTGTAGCATTGTTCATGATAGTGAAAAATGGCCAATGATTTGCTCAATCATGCCTATATAATGAAGCCCCATAAATACCCAAAAAGACAGGTTCAGAGAGCTTCCATGTTGGTGAACAACACCTGGAGGCAGGTGCTGGGAGAGCGGTGTGTCCAGAGAGGGAATGGGAGATCTGCGCCCCTTCCCATATACTTGGACTTACAAATATCTTCCATCTAGAGACATTCATCTGTATCCTTTTTATATGGAAAACAGCAGGTAAACTGTTTTCCGTGAGCCATTCCAGCTTATTAATTGAATTTGAGGAGGGGGTCGTGGGGACCTCCAATTTATAGCCAATTAGTCAGAAGCACAGGTGACAACCCAAGTTTTTCATTGGCATCTGTGTGGTGTGGGGACAGTCTTGTGGGACCACACCCTTAACTTGTGATCTGATGCTATCACAAGGTGGAGAGTGTCAGAACTGAGTTAAATTGTAGAATACCCAGCTGGTGTCATAGAGAATTGCTTGGTAGTATTGGAAAACCCATACATTGGAATTGGTGTCAGAATCCTAGAGACAAGTCATATAGCTAAATGTGGTGGATTCAGACCGAAGTGGATGAGGAAACCACCATACAGCTTTGCTTGGCCAACTGCAGTTCCAATTAGAGTGAGCAGCACCCTGCTAGAAAGTTGACAGGGAGATCCTAAAAGTAAGGGAGTGATCCAAGCACCGTGATAAGCTGTCCACCCATTCCTGGCTGACTATGAAACTGTTCAGGGGAGACAGTGAGAGCCCAGCAGAAAGCTGAAGCCAGAGGAGACTAGAGACCTGGCCGTGTCTTTGAATGCATTCCCTAACCCACACCCAGGTAATCAACGCAGAGTGGAACCTTATAGGTTCATTGGATGACCAGTAAACTATGCATACACATCTCTCTCTCTCTATTTTGGTAGGGCCTGAGTTTAGTTTACACATGAGAGGAATATAAGTAGTTTGTGGCCCTAGGGTGAACTGTGGTGGTTTTAAAACATGTCCACAATTTTTTTTGATACTCCTGTACTGAAAATGTGACCTAACTCCCGTGGGCGGTACTTAGTGATGCTAATGAATAGAGTGTGACAGAAGTGTCTGTGTTAGAACACCCCATAAAAAGCACGTGGCTTCCTCTGCACTTTGCTCTTTGGGAGAACCAGCTGCCATGGCAGGAGGACACTTCAGACACCTTGTGGGGAGGCTTATGTGATGAGGAGTTGAATCCTCTTGCTAAAAACTAGAAGAGAACCGAGGCCTTCAGCCAAATGAGCCTTCTCGAGAAGCAAACCTCCAGCCCCAGTAAAGCCTTCCGATAACTGATGACCGTAGCCCACATGGCATCTTAATTGTAATCTCATGAGAGATTTTGAGCCAGAACCACCCAGCTCAGCCTCTGCCAGATTCCTGCCCCACAGAAACTATGTGAGATAGTAAGTTTTTACTGACATTTTAAATTGCTAAGTACTATGTTATCAGCAACAGAAACTAACAAAGAGGCATAGCGGACATCATTAATACTAGATATGTTTGCAGAAAAACAATCGTTCAGTTAATTCTTGGGCAAGTTATATTTGCTTTTCTGGAACATGTGTGATGTTTGAAACTTTAAACTTAGTAGGTCAAAGGCTGGGTTTATGGAGGACAAATGTGGACACCTTTGGCCAATGTCTGACTTCCACTATGTTAGCGTGAAGCTGCACTGCGCACAGACAGTATCTTTCAATGTTTTAGTGAATGCAAAACGTGTGTGCTTCCAATATTTTCTCAGACGCTTTGTGACTGTCCCTTTGAATTTCACCATTTGTGTTCACTTATCTCAAAACATTGTTCAAGCTGATGATTGAAATGTTGCAAGAAATAGAAGCCAGATTTATTCATAGATCTGAATGTACACTATGGGAAAAAGATGCTGGAGGAATTGGTCTAGAGACTTCCTTTCTTCTGTTTTCAACAACTGCATACCCAGGAGCTGTGATTTTTTTTTTTTTTTAACATGAGGCGGCTATCCAAAGTGTTCCTCGATTATGTATTTAGATATGTCTTAAGTTGTAAAAATAAAAAGAGCTGAAATCCATTAAGTATTTTCATATTCTTATGACTTTAATATTGTATCATAGTTTAAAAATCTTAAAAGAATTTAACTGGGAAATACTTGAAAATGAAAAAAAAATGTATTATTCCCTAAAAGTAATATAATCAACTCCTAAGTGAATCATCAGCAATGAGACTATTTCTAGCTAACATTTAGTTATTATGTTGTCTTTATCTTTAATAAGAAGTGCAAACCGGCAAATGAAGCAGCTGAACCTTGACAAGTGTTTATTACTTCAGGTCATATTTTCATCACTAATAATTATCTTTTTCAAATTGAAATGTCTAATAATACCCTCTTTTTCTCCCCTCAGGGAATTGCTCCAAAGCTGGAATTTTCTACAACCTCAGTGATTACTGAATGTCTGATAAGTTCAAGGAAGTGCCGCACTCAGGTTAATGTCATTTAAAGTATTGAATGGCTTAATTTGTTTATATTTATGCACTTGGCAAGCATTATTATTGTTTTTTATTTTGGCTGCGCTGTTTAATATGAGTGAAAAGTTTGGTACACATGATAGATGGTACCATGATGTTATTATTATTTTTTTAACTTTATGGGCCTTTTTCTTGTAATGCAAAGAAATCAGGCTGTCAGAAAGATATTGAGATCAAGAAGTCCTACGAAAACTAGATTGGAGGCTTCTATAAATCTTACAGAAGTTACAGGTTACTGCAGAAAGTTCAAAGGATACCTTTTTAGCAAATATGACCAAAGGTTCTCAGGCCAGAATATTGATGTTTAACGAGTATGTTTCTTGAGTGTCTCTAATTCTTTAAGGGACTGTTGCTCAGTTTGGTGGCCATACTTGTACCATCAGATCAAGGGAAGCCTGGACCCTCTAGCCTAAGCACCTTCTATAGTGAAAACTGCCTTAGTAAATTGAAATATCTAGATCTAATATTCCATTTTGGTCTAACTTCTTACTGAGTCACCAGGATTGTCCTGCTGCCTTGTCCACAGGTTATCTACTAATGTCTAGGTATCACTCATATGTGGTTGCATCATGACCAGGTAACAATGAGCAGCCTGTGATGCAGAGCCAGCAATAGATATAAAGCCCAGAGGGCCTCAACAGGGTGGGATTGGACCTACGATGGGAAGAGTGGAGTGTTAAATTACTGCATTATCAGTTTTAGAGTAAATTTGCTGAGGATGATAACTGTGACTTAAGCGAAGGAAGGTAAAATATAGTTTTAAAATTATCAAGGGGACCATATTTTATTTAGCAGGATATTTAGTACATCAGAGATTGGCTGTAGTCATTTATGTTGCTTAAATGCAAGCTGAAATGCAGCTATTAGAGATCTAACAACCTGTGCTTTCCAAACGCACAGCTGTGTTACTGACTGGTTTTTCAGATATGCACTGCACTGTGCCTGCTTGTTAGAAGTTGTAATTTATTAGAAATGTCTTACCTGGACTCAGACAAAGTTTTTCTCTCCATATTGGGGTATGCCTTTATAGTGGGTGGGTCAAAAAGTCTTTTTTTGGCTGAAGTAGAGCATACACATATACACAGAAAAGTACACACATTCTAAGTGTACAGCTTGGTGGAAGAGTCCTTTCTAAATGTAAAATTGTCACCCCATTAGTAGTCTCATTGGAACTAACATAGGAACTGGTACATTTTCCTCTGTAAACTTTTGGGAAGACTCTTTCATTACCTTTTTTTTAAAACTTGCTATTTCAATGTTTGTCATTTGTTCTTTATTGAACAGAGATATAAGAGAGTAGGCTTTGGTGTCAATGTTTACGAAAATGTGTTTTAGAATCAGATTTTGATTCAAGTTTCTCGAAAGGCTGGTTTAAAGATTAAAATAGAAAATATATTCAATGTGCCTGGCACATATCATATAATTAATGAATTTTGTGGCTGTTACTAGGTTATTATCTTTTTTTTTTTTTTTTTTTTTTAAGATTTTTTATTGGGGAATTGGGGGGATGGGAACAGTGCTGGGGAGTTGGGGGAAGGGGAACAGACAAGTTGC